TTGTCCTAGCCAGAAACTCTATTCTACGAACATAAGCAATAATCTTCTTAGGTTTAACAAATTTATAAGGTGGTTTTTCACAGAACTTTGCTTTCCTTGTACGATACTAAGATAGTCGGCCGTTCTCTTTCATGATTTTTACACACATAGGAGTTTAAAGACATAATTGAGTCGTAAGTTTTCAGTTGTTAAGTTCGGATACGATTTTTCAACTGGTTCGATTTCATTATCCACAGTTGTTCTTTGAACAAGATAGACGTATGCAAGGAAAAGAAGCGACTGAGGCATTAAATTGTGAACCAGTTCAGGATGAAAAATCACTGGGAAAAGATAAAAAGATCTCAAATCATCAAGCAACTCAGAAGGTCAGTATTGATAGTGGCTACATCTATTTGACCCATTAAAAAGGCAATTAATTATTAAAGATAAAAGTTAAAAACACACTCATTGACAGTAAAAAATACAAATCATATTATTTATATGTTATATTATTATTATTGTTATTATTCATTATTGTCTCCGCATGTCATTCAATCATTTCTAGGTCGCACATTTTGATCAAACGCTAAGGGCGTGTTTGTAAATGAAAAAATTCAATTCATACTCAATTCATAGTTTCATACTCAAAATTTAACAACTCAACTATTCTCAATATTATCAATATAATTAGATAATGCCAACCAATCATTCGTACATATCACATCAACTTTAATTTACTATATATCATCTCACATAATTTTAATTAATCATCACAATATCTCGCCAGGAAAAAACTTCGAATTGGGAGGGCTCTTCTACTTTTACATCAAATCAACTTCATTTATTTTATTTTAAATATTATTTTAATATAAAATAAAATAAAAAATTCACGAACTAACCATACCATTTTTTTTTTCAAAATTAATTTTGGTTAAGCAAAAAAACACATTTTGAACGAATATATTTGTATACAAACACGTCTAAGAGATGTTTGGATATACCATTTTTTCTGTTTTGTTTGGATTATTGGATTACCCATGTTTAGTTTTGAAAAAAAGTGGTATTGTTTAGTTGTTACTTGTTAGTGAAATTTTGAGTTTATAATAAAATAATATTTAAACAAAATAATTAAAGTTGATTTGATGTAAAAGTATGAGAGAGATGATGTGAGGTGATAGTTAGTTAAAATTACGTAAGATGAATAGCGAGTTAAAGTTGATTTGATGTGTAAACCTGTGGGCAGAAGTCCTTCCCATATGAGGCACTAATCTCTTCTTAACGTCTAATTAGATCGGGAAATTATTCAAATTAAGAGTTAAAGTTGATAAGATGTGTAAGAACGATTGATTGAATTATTTAATTATATTGATAATAATGAGGATACTGGAGTTAAGCTCAAGTTGAGTTATGTTCAAGTTAAAAAAAATGTTTGGTTCAAAATGATTGAATTTTTTTTAGAAATCTTGTATCCAAGTAACCCGTGTGTCTCATTGTGAGACGCTTCTAAAGATAATCATAATTCCATCTTTAGGAATTTTACGACACTTTAAAAGCTCGAGTGGCTGAGTTGAGAAGGGAAACCCGCATGCTCAATCAACAACTACGTCGACAAGCTACAATGTGCGAGCAACTTAGTGAGGACAACAAGTTATTAATGGTTAGTCCCTGCAACCCCTTTCTTTCTCTAGCTTCCTTTTTTTATGGCTCGTTCGTCAATATTAACTCGCTCTTCTCTACGTAAGAGCGTGGAAATATTTAACATCACTTGATCAATATGATTATTTGTGCAGGATGAGCTAAAGAAGACTTGCGAACCATGGGTCATAGGAATTCTAGAAGCAAACAATCCGGAAACAAATCCTCAAACAGATTGAGAATTGGAGTCGATCGAAATACAGATGAAGAGTAAGTTTAACTAACTGCCCTCCAAAAGCGCACACAAATCGTTCGAGAAAAGGTTTTTTCAACAAAACAAGAAAAACTAGGTTCACATCTAGTTTTGGTTTGGTTGTATAGTGTAAATTATGGACAATCAAGTTTCTATTTTTATTTGAAATAGTGAACTATGGTTGAGGGCACAAAAAAGAAAAGAAAGAAAGAAAAAAAAAAAAAAA